AAAATTCAGAAGGGACACACAGTCCCCCTAAAAGATGATCAGACCTTTCATCCTGCCCAGGTCCGCCTTTGTAACTTGCTATCATGTTGTTATGCTAAAAAGCGTTTGTCTCCTCCAGGGCCCAGGAGAAAATGTAGGGTGGGGTGGGAGAAGATTTTCTGAGATTGGGAGGGTGCATGTGTAGTTAAGGCTGTAAAAGCTGCCAGTAACTAGCTGTGTGACCTCGGGCAAGTCACTTCATCTCTCTCTGCTTCGGTTCCCTCAACAGCCAGCCCACGGGTGGTGATTACCCTGGTGGGACCCATAGTAGATGCTCAGTTACACAGATGGGAGCTGCCAGGCAAGCTCCACAGCCCAGAATGGTACCTCCATGGCTGGTGTACCACCCCCGAGCCCACCAGGGCCTCTCCGCTCCTTCCCTCCTGAGTGCGCTACATTGGGTTCGAGATCCATAGCAGGAGCTAACTTCCTATCAGGTCCTTCTGAGGTTCTCACAGGACGGACAATGTCTGATGCTCCCAGAGGAAGCACCCTGGGGGCTGGCCCACACCCAGCCTCACGCAGCTGTGGATGGAGGCCTCAGAAGCTTGGGAGTAGGCCAGGGGCTTGAGGGGCCAGAGTGTGTTGTGTCCTATGCTGGGGCCCTAGCCTCGTTCCCACCTCCCCCTTGCTGTTTCTACAGGACAGACAGATGGGCTGCAGGTTGTCCCTTAGAACCCAGCCTGCCCAGCCTTGCAGGTGACAGGGGGCAACTGAGTGAGCGTTAAGCAGCAGCTTACCCAGCGGTCTGTGGGGGAGCCTGGATCGCACCAGACTGCAGGTCCCGGGCTCTCCCCACCGCACCCCCACCCAGGCTCCTCGCTTTCCCATGTTGGAATAGAAGGCAATCTGGGCCCCCCACATCTGAGACAAAGGTGCCTTTTCTCGTTCAGCTGAGGTCTCCTACATGTATGCCTTAAACATTCTCCAAGTTGTCAACCTTATGTTTTTTTTAATTGAGAAGAACTTTTGTTCTCTAGACCAAAACAAAGATAGGCAGAAATATATAACCCCATAGAAAGGAAGATTGAGAAGGGGTTGGAGGTACTCAGCATCTCCCTCATCAAGAGATTAACAGTAAAAGGAGCGCACACATTTTGCTCACCTGCAGAAAGGTCCCACTCCAAAGACAGCTCACAGGGGACCCCAGCCCCAGAACCAGACAGGGTGGAGCAATGATTTCCAAAGTGAGTGCAGGGATACAAGATGCTTTTAGAGGCTACCTCTTGATGAATAGTTTTTAAATCAATAATCATTAATTAAAATATATACAGGAGAAATTATAACTTAACACATCTAACCATGAGTTCCCAGTAATTATTGCTCCGAAGGAGAGTAAATAGTGGACTGATTTAAAGAAAAATATTGGGGTGCCTGCGTGGCTCAGTCAGTTAAGCCTCCAACTCTTGATTTCGACTTAGGTCATAATCTCAGGGCCGTGAGATTGGGCCCCGTGTCAGGCTCCATGCTCAGCGTGGAGTCTGCTTGAGATTCTTTTCCCCTCCCTCTCCCGCCCCCTCTGCTTCCCACCCCCCCACTCGTGTGCACTCTCTCAGATAAATAAAATCTTTTAAAAAAAGAAAACTATGAAGTGAATAATATACAAGAGGATCACAGATATGGCAAAAGTCACAAAGGTGATTTGTGTCTATGATCCAGGAGCCCAAAAAGGAATATGAGGTATGGGAGGGAAATCTGCCCCCAGGATCAAGTGTCTGAACTAGGGTGAGTTCCATCTTTAACCACTGGCTCATTTTCTTATCGATGCATCCATTCCACAAGCATGTGTTACCTGCCTGCTCTGTACTAGGTGCTTTCCTGGTGTGGGGGATACTGTCCCCATGGTGCTGAGAGTCTTGGGGGTGCTGGGAGGGCTGTCCTGGGACAGCATCACTGAAGTGAGAGAAACACAGAAGCTTTCCACCAGGCTGATGGGTGAGAGAAACACAGAAGCTTTCCAGACCCAAGGAGCAGCTTGTTGCTGGTGGGGAGGGGGTTGCGGTACATGGCTAGAAGGGGGAGAACATGGTGGGCTTGAGGAACAGAAAGAGGCTTGTGGGCAGAGCCCAGAGGGTGACAGGGGAAGAAAGCTTGAGATGAGACCAGAGAATCTTGGAGGGCTGGATCATGCCTGACCTAAAAGCCATGGCAAGGATTATGTACATGATCATTCATTTAGCCAGTATTTACTGGGCTCCTGCCCTGTGCTGGTAATGGAGGGGCTTATAAAATTAGGGTCTTCCTTTAAGGTGCTCGGGTCTAGTGGCCGGCTTTTGAACACACAGATGGTCTATTCCTAAGTGCTGTTATGGAAATGTGAAAGAGAGGCCAGGGAAGCACAGAGGGGAGAGGAGAAGGCCGTGACATTTGAGCTGGGTTTTGAAGGATGAGTAGGAGTTTGACAGGAGGGAGAGGAAAGGCATTCCTAGTAGCAGAAAGAGGGTGAGTAAAGGCACCAGCAGGTCTGGGGACATGGCTGAGCCTGGAGCCACAGTAGGCATTGGAAAGAGGAAAGGCCAGACGGTCAAGTTCACAGAAGGTCTTCAGACTCAAGACTGAGGTTTCATTCTGCGGGCAGTGAGGAGCTGGAGACTGAGCTTGAGCAGGAAAGGAAGATCCTTCTGCTGAGGTGTGTGCTGAGCCTGGGGACTGCCACCACTGCCCAGAGCGGTGTGAAGATGGCCAGGCTTGGGCCCTGGCAGGGGGGAAGCTGTGGAGCATGCCCCTCTCTGTGCCCTCCGGCCTGAGCTGGCCTGGTGCCCAGAGCAGGGACCCCTTATTACAGGGCAATAAGCCGCCTGCTGCGCCAACTTTGAAAACTAGAGGCCCTTTCCAAAAGAGTAAAGATTCCAGCCAGCTGGGCCTGTGGTCCGTGTCCAAAACAAACAGGAAGAGACCACAGTGGGCCAGGCAGGGCCTCTTTCTTTGTTTGGAGACGGGATTAGGCCAAGTGGGCTTGTGGGTCTTTCTGCTTCAGAGGTGGGGGGCTGCAGGTTCAGGCAGGGACAGATTGAAACTTGGTTTAGGGGGACACAGGGCTCTTTGGGGCCAGCCTACAGTAGGGTTGCTGTACTGATGGCCTCCTTAGGCCAACCCTGGCCCCAATGATAGACTGGGAACACATGCCACATCACCCTTGGGAGCCACTGTGCCCTGTGTCACCATGCCCAAGCTGGAGCCTTCTCCTGGGCACTTGGCTTCCTATTAGTGCCCTTGGCCCTCAACCCAGGCCTGAGGAGGGTGGGTCCTGGCCACCACGGTGAGAAGTGCACATCGGCCAGCCCAGGGCCCCGTAGGCAGATCTCTAGAGAGAAGGGAAGAAATGCCAAGGGCTCAGAACACCCTCAGTCTGAAAGATGAGCACTAGGGATTCCCCTGAAGACCCTGTACTCAGCCCCTCACCTCCGCCGGCCCGATGACAGGTGGCAGTCATTCATTCTTGCGGTTACAGGTGAATGAATTCATCTACGTGTCCATTCAGTGCATGCGTGCATTCACTTCCCAAGCATTCACGCAGGCTCAGGGGAAGGCAGACTCGAGCTAGGGCAGGCAGTGGAAGATGGATAAGGTTCTTAAGGAGCTTACAAGCTCTGCTGAAGCCAGCACAGGTGAACCCTGAGATACATTTGGCCTGAACAAGAACACTGCTTGTCTGCCATGGTTGGAGGAAGGTTCCGAGGAGGGCCAGGCAGTTCTCCCAGGGCCAGAGTGGGGGCAGGGACAGGGGTGGAAGTGGGCTAGAAAGGCTTCAATAAGCAGTGACTCCTGAATCAATTCATGCATGAGTGCATTCACTCAACGGATATGTATTGAGCACCTGCTGTGTGCCAAGCGCCATGCCAGGGGCTGATGAGTGGAAGTAGACAAGGGCCTGCTCTCATGGGGACTGAAGTTGCTGGGAGAGACAGACAGGACTCAAGTCTTCACCACAGGGATCAAATGAAAAACTGCACTGGGTTACAGGGCTTCAACGGAGAGGTTTGTGGTACTAATGAAACTAATAGAAACTTGACCTGGCCAGGGAGGGCTTCTCTGAGAAAGACTGGAAGGATGAATAGGAAATAACTAGGGAAAGAATTGGGAGAAGAGGATCCAGTCAGCGGGAACAGCATGTGCAAAGGGTCTGTGGCAGAGGGGCTGGCCAAAGACCAGAGTGGCTGGACAGAAGGGAATGTGGTGAAAATGAGGCTGGGAGGTGGGCAGGCTAATGCCATCTGAACTTGTAGGTCCCTTTGGAAGATTTAGTCTGGATTTTATGAGCAAAAGGAAGGTTTTTTTGCTTTTTTTTTTTTTAAGATTTTGTTTTTAAGTCATCTCTAGCCCCAACATGAGGCTTGAACTCATGTTCCTGAGATCAAGAGTGGCATGTTCCACTGACTGAGGCAGCCAGGTGCCCCAGGAAGGTTTGAAGCCGTGATGAAAAGTGATCCCATTCTTGTGGCAAACAGGTTTGAGGGGGCCTGAGCAGAAGTGGCGAGTCCATGAGGGGATAGTGGTGTCTGCATAAACAGGGAGAGTGGCTTTGACCAAGGACATGGTGAGATCTGGGGATGAGGGCAGACTTGGACATGGAAGTAAGGGGTCAGGAGGTGTCCAGGTCTGAGACACTGGGCTGCTAGATAGGAAGAGTGATAATGAACATTTTATTAAGTATGATAAATAATATCTTCATTTCTACTAAGGATAGGAAAAGAGGCCATGGCTGAGCTCTGAGTAAAGGAAGAAGCGAATAATGATGGTTAGGTTCTGCTCTGTGGTGTTTAATATGTTCTCTTGTTCAATCTGTGCAACAAAGCTGAGAGGTGAACACTATTATCTATTTATGAGGCAAGAGCTCTCAGCAAGGTAGAGTTACCTGCCCAAGGTCACAGCTGGGAAGAGGTTAAGCCTCCACCGGCCTCCTCTCTGAAAAAAAACAAAAACAAAAAAACGGGCAGAACATCTTCTTTCTTTCTCCTCAGTATGCTGATAGTTGAGATAGAAATTTTTGGCAAGAAGCGATAAGAGGAGGAACCTGGAAGAACTCCCTGCTCTAGAAGAACACAAGGAGGCTGGGACCCTGTCCCCAGGGCTTGCATTGCCCTGGGTGTCCTGCCGGGATCCAGCCACAGGGGTGACCCAAGCCAGAAACTGACTCTCTCCTCTGCATCGCCCACCTCTTCTTGCTCCTGGGAAGTCCTTCCCTGACTCTAACCTCAGTCCTCCTGCTTCTGCCCCCACTGTCCCAGCACGCAGGCAGATCAGTGCCACCCAGCCCCGCTGCTCCCTCTTCCTGCAGCCCGTAACCGGATGCTGTTTGCTCCCCAGCAGGTATCCCGGCTTCCTGTGTCTGGATCTCCTCCTCTCCGGACCCTGAGCGGAGGGTGCCCCTGCCCAGCCCACTGACCTTTGCCTGTGTGAGCCCTGGTTAATTTTTGCCCAGGCTGTAGACTGTGGGGCTCTCCTCCCTCCGCCTCAGGGATATAAGTCTGGCCCGAGGCTGCCTTGCTCCTCACCGTCCTGCACCACCCCCAGCTCCCCCCTGCCCTCACCATGGCCAAGGGCTTCTACATTTCCAAGACTCTGGGCATCCTGGTCATCATCCTGGGGGTGGCAGCCGTGTGCACCATCATCGCTCTGTCCGTGGTGTATGCCCAGGAGAAGAACAAGAACACCGGGAGCTCCACCGAGGGCTCCACGGCAGGCCCCACGAAGCCCATGACCACTACAGCCACCACCACGGCCACCACCTTGGACCAAAGCAAACCATGGAACCATTACCGCCTCCCCAAGACTCTGATTCCCAGCTCCTATAACGTGACGCTGCAGCCCTACCTCACCCCCAACAGTGAGGGCCTGTACACCTTCCACGGCAGCAGCACCGTTCGCTTCATGTGCAATGAGTCCACCAACGTCATCATCATTCACAGCAAGAAGCTCAACTACACCGACATGCAGGGGCAAAGGGTGGCCCTGCGGGGCGTGGGGGGCACGCAGACCCCCACCATTGACACGACCGAGCTGGTGGAGCTCACTGAGTACCTGGTGGTGCACCTCCGGGAGCCACTGCAGGTCAATGGCCAGTACGAGATGGACAGCAATTTCCAAGGGGAGCTGGCTGACGACCTGGCGGGCTTCTACCGCAGCGAGTATACAGAGAACGGTGTCAAAAAGTAAGCTGCCGCGGGGTCTGTCTGCTCGGTGGGGGCAGGTCCTAGATGCTGAGGCAGAGCTGGATCCTGGGGGCCAAGAAAGGGCTTGGATTGCAAGCCTTTGAACCTCCTGGAGCCTCTCGCTGGCCCCCGACTCTATCCACAGGTGCTAGGGGAGCATCTGCCTAGAAAGCAGCCCTCTCCTGGGGGCTTCTGTCCCCCACATGAGGGAGTCAGGGGCTAGTGGTAAAAGCCTCTTGGATAGATAGGAAACTGGGGCTCAGGGGAGAGAAACTTCCCTAAGGTCTCCCGGCTAATACGGGGATGGAGCCTGCTGGGACTTTGACCCTGACTCCTGAAGGCGTTGCCTGTCAGGCCCCAGAGGCTGCCTGGGGGAAGTGGGGAGGGCAGGGATGAGGCTGGACCAGGCTTTCATGCACCCCTTCTCCTGCATGCCTGGCAACACCCTGAAACCCCCCACCCTGCCCACCCTGACGGGTCGCAGGCGTTCCGCCGGCACACGCTCTAATGTCCTGGTTCGGGCAGGGTGCTGGCCACAACACAAATGCAGGCTACACATGCCCGGAAATCCTTCCCATGCTTCGACGAGCCAGCCATGAAGGCCACGTTTAACATCACCCTCATCCACCCCGTCAACTTCATGGCACTGTCCAACATGCTGCCCAGAGGTGAGTGGGTCTGTCCTGGGGCCACGCAGCCTTAGGAAGGAGGCAGCCCGGGGCTAGGATGCATTGCAGGGCAGAGGAGGCATCTCCACATGTTTGAATGCTCCGTGCCCAGGCCCCAGCGTCCCTTTTTCGGGAGATGGCAACTGGAGTGTCACCGAGTTTGAAACCACGCCTGTAATGTCTACTTACCTGCTGGCCTACATCGTTAGTGAGTTCAAGAACGTGGAGAGGATAGCGCCCAGTGGCGTCCTGGTAAGGAGCCGGGCCCACCCGTCCTTCCCCGGGATTGGCCCTGGCCCGAGGGATATTCTTGTTTTAATTCATTCCCATCTTCAGCCCCTGAGTTGTTAGACCAGTGTTCGAATCCCAGCTCTGAGGGATCTTGGACAAGTGTCTTAAGTCCTGACCCTCAGTCTCTGCATTTGAAAAATGGGTCTGTCCTCATGAAGGGCGTTCCCAACGCCTGGGTGCCAGGCAGACAGTGGCCATGACTACTATTATTCCTAAAGAATCCTCCGTAGGACTCAAAGCCCCTCAGAGACAAAGCCCCCCCGCCCCCCAGCCTTCTCCTCTGCTGCTCACGCCTCTCAGTTTAAGCTGGTTGGTGCCCTCCCTCACTAGCCTACTGGCCCCGGGGGCCCCGCCCATCTGCGCCGGGACCAAGGAGGGCCTCTGACCTACGTCCATCCTCTCTGCAGATCCGGATCTGGGCTCGGCCTAGTGGGATCGACCAGGGCCATGGAAATTATGCCCTGAATGTGACAGGCCCCATCCTAGACTTCTTTTCCGCACATTATGACACACCCTACCCACTCAACAAATCTGGTGAGTGAGGGGCCTTGTGGTGGGGGCAGAGGATGGGGCTCCCTACCCAGAGGCCATCCTGCCAATGGCCTTGCCCCCCCAGACCAGGTCGCCTTACCTGACTTCAACGCCGGCGCCATGGAGAACTGGGGGCTGGTGACCTACCGGGAGAACTCCCTGCTCTATGACCCGCAGTCCTCCTCCAGCGGCAACCAGGAGCGAGTGGTGACCGTGATTGCTCACGAGCTGGCCCACCAGGTAGCCCCCCCGTCCCGGGGAGCGCCGAGAAGTGAGTAGGGGGCTCTGGGAGGAGAGGGCACAAGCCCTGGCTCTGCCCTAGGCCCGCTGCGAAGGGAGGAGGCTCCCAGCAGGCAGGATAGTGGAGGGGAGTCACAGCGACACCAGTGAAGTGCTGACAGGCGCCTGGCACGTGGGGACGCTTGGAGAAGGGGCGTTCTGGGTACTGTGAGTGACCACAAGGCCAGAGTGGCTAGCTGGGCTGACCTTCCCTCCCCAACAGTGGTTTGGGAACCTGGTGACCTTGGAATGGTGGAATGACCTGTGGCTGAACGAGGGCTTTGCCTCCTACGTGGAGTACCTGGGCGCCAACTATGCAGAGCCCACCTGGAATCTGGTGAGCCAGCTGCCTGGGAGCCCCTGGGTGCGGGGTCGGCGGTCCCACCCCACAGCCAGGCTGGTCTCCTGATGGCCACTGGGGATTTGCAGAAAGACCTCATGGTGCTGAACGACGTGTACAGGGTGATGGCCATAGATGCGCTGGCCTCCTCTCACCCGCTGTCCTCACTTGCCAACGAGGTCAACACGCCGGCCCAGATCAGCGAGATGTTCGACTCCATCTCCTACAGCAAGGTACTGAGGCAGTGAGGGGCAGGCAGATGGAGTGGGGACTCAGCCCACGGAGCCCCCCCCCCGCCCCCGCCCCAGCCAGGGCTCTGGCCCGGTCCTTTGGGCTCAGCATCGCTCTCTGAGACCCCTCTCCCCTTCCCCAGGGAGCTTCGGTCCTCAGGATGCTCTCCAGCTTCCTGACGGAGGATCTGTTCAAGAAGGGCGTGGCGGTGAGTACCCTGGGCCAGCCATGGGGGGGTGGGGTTCCCCCAGCCCCTGCCCTGTGTCCCCAAGCCCCCGCCTACCGCAGGGGTTCCGTGGGAGAGGCAGGGGAGCACCAGCTTCGCCCTCACTGTGGCCTGTCCTTCCACAGTCCTACCTCCACACCTTTTCCTACAAAAACACCAGGTACCTGGACCTGTGGGACCACCTGCAGAAGGTCAGTAACCGCCAGCCACGTGCAGCCATTTTGTGGGGGTCCTGAGATGCTGTAAGTCCCCGGGGTGGGGCGGGGGGGGCAGCACGTGTGGGAGAATGTGTCCAGCTCCACTGCTTACCAGCCCAGGCAGGTCCTCTGAAGCCTTGGCTGCTCATCTGTAAAATGGGTGCCGTGAGAGCTCCTTGAAGGAGGTGTTATGAGACCGTGGGTCAGGAGCCCGGGCGGGCAGCTTGCCCCCCGCTGCAGTGAGCTCCATGATGGGAGCCGAGGAGCACCCTAATCAACCAACCCGCACGGTTCCTAACCCCTCCTCTGCCTGGGACTCTGGAGCCGGTCATTCCACCTACTCAGCACTCCTGGCTGCCCTGTGCCCCAACGGGCCCCTCCAGGCATGACTCTGCACACTCCAGCACCCGCAGCACTGACTTTGACCTTCTCGCCCCGTCCTGCCTTGCATTCCTGCCCTCTTAGACCCCATGCAGCCCGGGCTGTGGGACAGACCCTCTGACCACCCCGCCTCCCCTCTCCCCGCCCTGCCTCTCCTAGAGCTGGAGTCTACATACTCCCATCTTCCCTTACAGCAGCCTGACTGACCCCTCCAGAGTCCCGAGCCCAGTCCAGCAGGGAGGGGAGACCCAGGCCCTCCTGGCTGGTCTCCGTGGCCCAACTTCTATCTGCCAGGAGCCTGGTCGGCCCTCCTCCCCAATACCCCCCTCCCCCGGCCTCCCACAGCCTGCTGACCCGGGGGGGGGGGGGGCACCTCACTGCCTCGGTCCCTGCCCTCCACATCCACTGTCTTCCTAGCCTGCCTCAGTCTCCCGCTCCTTCCTCCCCTGCAAAGCTGAGCTCTCCTCCATGCCTGGTGCCCCTCCAGCTCCACCCCTCCCTCCCACTCCCTCTGGCCCTGAGCCCTTCTCTCTGCGGCAGCTCCTGGCTCCCCTCCCTGCTCAGCTTCGGGCCTTTGGAGGGCTCTTCTTCCTCTTTCCGTCTTTATTTTCTCACTTATTAACAGATGTTGTTGGCTTCTTGCCGTTATTACAAAAGCAATGCATGTGCGTGAAAACAGAGGGAAAAAACCTAAGAAGACAATAGAGAGGACCCGAAGCGCGTCCCCAGACCACCCACGCTCTCACCCTCTCCCTCGCTCTGCACCATCTGCTCCTCTGCCCTCTCCTCCTCCGGGGTTGTTCATGCTGGGCACCCCCCCACACACCCACCTGAAGCAGGGGGCCCTCATAGATTTGCTCAGCTGATGTGCGGTGCACCAAACGCCTGGAAGTTCTCAGCTCTTCCAGCCCTGGGGCTAGGAGCCCCGCTCCTGCCTCCCCGCGGGGTGGCACTTGCGCAGTGAGGCCGGGGGTCTGCCGAGGCTGCGGCGGGTGGGCGCAGGGGAAGGGGGCGCTCCGCTGACGGCCGCACCATGTTGCTGTGCCCCAGGTCATAAACGATCAAACAACCGTCAAGCTGCCGAACACCGTGCACAACATCATGGACCCCTGGATCCTGCAGATGGGCTTCCCGGTCATCACCGTGAACACCTCCACGGGCACCATCTCCCAGGAGCACTTCCTCCTTGACTCCAAGTCTGTCGTCACCCGCCCCTCACAGTTCAAGTGAGCAGACAGGGCCACTGAGGCAGGCGTCCTAGGAGGGGCTTGGAGGGGCAGTGGCCGTGGAGCCCCTTGACCGCGGGGCGCCCCGTGGTTGCTCTTCCTTGGCCGTGTCCAGGAGCTGCTGTCTCTTACCGCCTGGTCCGGGGGGCTCTCGTTGCAGCTACCTGTGGATTGTGCCCATCACTTCCGTCAAAAATGGCATGCAGCAGGCGGACTACTGGCTTCAAGGCGTTGCACAGGGTAATCCGGCCTTGCCCTAGTGGACGGCAGGCGCAGCCCAGACTCCCAGCTCCTGGCCCACGTTCTGGGGGCTACGGCAGGCCTCAGTGGTGGCTTCCTTTGTCATTCATTCAACCAGTGGAGCCGACTGTTTTGGTTCTAAGCTCTCCTCTACTGTTGCCCAGCTGGGTGACCCAGGGCGAGTTACCATCCCTCTCTGGTCTCCATTTCCTCATCTATAAAATGGGGCTGAGATGGGTATCTACCCCATTGAGTTGTGTGGGGACTAAAGAAGAGAATGTATAGGAAATGTTTAAAACAGCACCTGGCACAAAGTATGAAAAGCCCTGCTCTGCCAGGTACCGAGGAGACTAAGCTTAAGGCAACTCCTCCTTGGCCTAGGCCAGAACTGCAGATGAAGAGAAGGAAGATAAGCAGCTAGAACTTTCCAGAGCTGTGTTGAGTGCTTTAACAGAGGCATGTACAGCCTCTGGGCTGCTGGGGCACAGGGCAGGGAGCCAGGAATAAGAAAGATTTAGCTTTGTGGAAAGGTGAGGGAAGGCATCCTGGAGGAGGTGAGCGGCGCCCTAGAGGAGGGGAAGGACTTAGCCAGGCTCATGGCGGCAGAGGAAATAGCAAGAGCAAGGCACAGAGGTAGGAGAGAACGTAGGGCCTGTGGCTAGGGCAGAGGTGTGCCCTCAAAGTGAGGCCGGCTCCTGAGGTCCCTGCAGGCTGCGGGACACAGCGGCTGTGTCCTCAGGCCAGGAGGAGCCGGGGCAGGTGGGAAGTGGGTGAGGACCACCTCCATGAAAGGACCTCATCTAGCTGCCAGGAGAAAGGCTGGAGATGGGGGCTCTGGGTGGGGGGGGGGTTGAGTGGCAGGGAGGCATCGCCTGGGCTTCCCCCTCGGTGACTGGGGCATGATGGGGCCATTTACAAGCCCAGAGAGGAGGAGGAGTAACAGCCTGGGGAGTTGGATCGGAGTGGCCCCGGGGTGTGTGGATGGAGATATCCAGGCCGCGGCCACTGGCCCGGCCACGTGGAGCCTGTGGGAGGCAGGGTGGGCATGGAGGGGCAGAGACGGCATGAGGTCCATCTGAGGTCACCGGCCAACCCACGGCAGAGTTTGGCCTGGCAACCCAGTCCTATGCCCCTTCCCCTCCCCTCTCCTTGGCATCACCCGAGGCTTGAGGGCCAGCCAGTGCCAGGCTGCATGAGAGGCTGCTCTCGCCAAGGCCTGGAGAGAGGCAGGCCAAGCGTCAGCCTGTGGCCTTGTGAGCGGCCCCACCCAGCTCTGGTCTCTCCCCACAGCCCAGAATGACCTGTTCAAAACCCCAGCTAATGAGTGGGTCCTGCTGAACCTCAACGTGACGGGCTACTACCTGGTGAACTATGACGAAGAGAACTGGAGAAGGATCCAGACTCAGCTGCAGACAAACCTGTCGGTGGGTGTCTGCCGCCCCACCCCATCCCCTGCCCCAGGCCCGGACCCAAGATGGCGCCCCAGACTACCAGGCCCGCCCCCACCACCAGCCTGAGGTCACACACCCTCTGTTGCCCCTTCTAGGTCATCCCTGTCATCAACCGGGCTCAGGTCATCCATGACACCTTCAGCCTGGCCAGGTGAGTGCCCCCTTCCTCCTCGGGCCCAACCTGGCTCAGGCCTGGTGACTCTAGCAAGTGCCGCTCCGTAACGAGAGCCGGTGCTCTTCCACTTGGGCCTTCCCGTCCCAGGCACAGGGCAGCGGGCTCCCTGTGCTTCTGCACAGCCCTCCCTGGGCCCCCAGATAAGGCATCCGAGACCGAGTGCTTTACCTCAGGCCACACGGGAGGAGCCCCCGACGGCCAGACACAGGCCCATCCACTCTAAAACCACACTGTACTGCACAACACCAGGCTTTTTCTGAGGATTAACAGCGTGCCAGGCTGCCACGCTAGGTGCTCAGAGAATCCAGGAAGGCCAGGACAGGCGAGATGGAGCGCCTACTGTGTTCCCAGCAGGTGCCAGGCTGATTTAAGTGACGTCCCCCATAGACACGGTCATTTATGAACCAAATGTGTGCACACGGCCTGAGAGGGAGGGGCGGAGGAAGGCACAGAGGGCCAAGCAAGAGAAGAGGTGGGCAGAAGAAAGAGCACAGGCTTTTTGTCCTTATGAATCTCCGCTCTGTGGCCTTAGGCAAATCACTTGACCTCTCTGAACCTCAGTTCCCTCTTTGTAAAATGGGGACAATACGTGATTGGCCCTGGGTGGGGGCGGGGCCTGAGCTGGCCTCATTTGTGGTACCAGCCAGCATCCATGTCCCCCAGCCCCATCCTCAGCTGGGGCTCTTGGACCTTAGGTTCCACGAAGGGTTGGGGGTTCCCTCTGTGGGGCTGGACTTACTTGAGCCCCTCTGTTTGTCCCCAGTGCCCAAAAGGTCCCTGTCACCCTGGCGCTGAACAGCACTCTCTTCCTGATCCAAGAGAGAGAGTACATGCCCTGGGAGGCCGCCCTGAGCAGCCTGAGCTACTTCAAGCTCATGTTCGACCGCTCTGAGGTCTACGGCCCCATGAAGGTACAGAGGGGCGTGGCAGGGTTCAAGGACCCATTGATCCAGTGCCTGAAATTGCATCACAGGGAGTTCACAGAAATACTGTCTGGAGTGGTGGACCCTTCAGGCTGCCACAACGCAGGGTTCTTCGCCGAGAGCAGGCTGGGCAGGGTGGCGAGGGGGATATGGGATGAAGGGAGCAGGTAGCGACAAGGTGAGCAGATTGGGGAAGGCAAAGAAAGGACACAGACTCCTAGCGAAGTTGGCTGTTTGGGAAATTAGCACTGTCGGAAGGCGCAGAAGAAGCCACCGTGCTGGGAGCTGGAGGACCCACCTTTTACCAGCTGGGCGGCTTTGGCCAACTCTCTTCATCCCCAGCGAACCCCTCTGTGAAGTGAGCAGGCCCATACCTGCCTAGCCCAAGGGGGCAGGGAGGGAGATGCAGGTGTTAACAGCTTTGAAGTTGGGTTGGTTGGGGTGGGGTATGATGAGGCTCCCATGAGGGAGACCAGAGGGAAACTCGGCAGTTTCAGACAAAAAAAAAAAAAAAAGAACCCCAAGCCCTCAAATGTCCAACAGTTGGGGATTGGTTAAGTAAACTACCGTATCCATTTGATGGACTATTACACAACCATCAGATAATACTCGAAGAGATCTTTTTTTTTTTCTTTGTCAGGAAGAAAGCGACCGCGTATGTGAGGTTGAGTGGGAAGGCGCAAAGGGAGAATCTTAAGCAGACTTCCACACCCAGCACGGAGCCCAATGTGGGGCTCGATCTCACGACCCTGAGATCATGACCTGAGCCAAAATCAAGAGTCAGACGCTCAACCGACTGAGCCACCTTCAAGGGTGCCCCTTGAAGAGATCATTTTTTTTTAAGATTTTATTTATTTATTTGAGAGAGAGAGAGAGAGCGCATGAGAGAGGGGAGGTCAGAGGGAGAAGCAGACTCCCCGCTGAGCAGGGAGCCCGATGTGGGACTCGATCCCGGGACTCCAGGATCATGACCTGAGCCGAAGGCAGTCGGTGAACCAACTGAGCCACCCAGGCGCCCTGAAGAGATCATTTTTAATTAAAACTTTTTCACATTAACTTCCTATCAGGGTAAATGAGGTATTAGGGTAAATGAAGTATTAGGGTAAATGAGCTTTTAACTCATGAACCTGCCCACCTTGGATTGACCCCCATCCTCCTGATATAGGGAAGTCATGATATTTTATCAATATGAGCTGTTGCTCAGCTTTGGTGCTGGCAGGCTCTCCCATGGTGCGGCCTCTCGTTTCCCAAACCTGGGGGTTCTTCCTCGAGTTCTCTCTCCCACAGGGGAGCACCCCTTCCAGTTTTTGAGAAAGTGTTCATAGGACATGGAGGCATATCATCTGCAATGTCTTTGTCTCACCGTGACACAGGACCCAGATTTTACCTGGGTGTAGAAGGTTCTAGGTTGGAAATTATTCCTCAGCGAATTTCAGGCCTTGCTCTACTGACGCCCAGCCTTTCGTGTTGCTGTTGAGAAGCTCAGAGCCTTGCTCATTCCTGGTTATTTGAATGTGGCCATTGTCTCCCTTCTGGAAGCCTGTGGGCTCTTCTCTCAATCCTGGTGGGCCTTTGTGTGGGTCCTTCTCCTCCCCCTACCCTTTCCATCTGGACATTTTGGCATTGCTCCTTAAGATGTTCTTCCCCTCCTTGCTGTTCGGTTCTCTTTCTGGGTCCCCTGTTAATCCAACTTGCTCTTCTTGCGTTGGCCTTTCTTCTGTCTTGCGGTTAAACTTCCAAGTACTGGTCCTGGGTCCAGCGTCCTATGCATATCTTCTCAGAACGTTCAGAGGGTATTCATCTCAGGCTTTTACAAAGCTTTCTGTTTCTTCCATTGACCTATTTCCTGAGTCTTCTGTTTGTTTTGGTCTCCTTTGGAGACCTCCTCACGTTGGAGGCTGAGCTGCCCCCTTTGGATTTGAGAGTGAGGCAATAAAAGGCACTTGGAAGTTCTGTGAGGAGGTCACATTTGTTACCTGCAGGTCTCACTGGGGGGTGACTGGGTGGCCAAGTGACTCCTCATGGGGACCCTCAAATATTAGTATCCATGGGGTGCCTGGTTGGTTCCACATGGTGGAACCACATGGTGAAGACCATGTGACTCTTGATCTTGGGGTCGTGAGTTCGAGCCTCACGTTGAGTATAGAGATTACTAAAAAAAGAAAAAGAAAAAAAAATAGTACCCATGAGTGTGTTCCTCTGAGACCAGAGAGCCATTCTGTATCTTCTATAATGAAGCTGGTGATGCTCAGTTTCTGGGACTGGGGATGGGGGGAAGAAACTGGAGATATCTCCATTCAGGATATAAACTTTCACCTCTGGCCCTCTCTGCAGTCTGCCAACCCTTCCCCTGTTCTGGTGACCCCCAGTTCTGAGCCTCTACTCATTCAACCTCACCCACAGGGGAGGTTGGGGTGTTGCCTGCTGCCAGGAGGGAAGTGGGAGCTTGGGGGTTTAATTACTCCTGCTACACACTCTGATTCCTTTGCCCTGTGTCCCGCCCCTGCCTCACCCCTGTCCGCTGCAGACCCGTCCCTCTGACTCTGAGCCATGTCACAGCCACTCTGCCCATCCACCCCTCTCTCCCCACCTTCCAGCTCCTTGACTGCACGGGCCCCTCATCCACTCTAGTTTCCCTTCCTATTTCCTTTCTTCTCCGAAGTTTGTTCTTGGACGTAAGGCGGGGTTCACGTCCCAGTGCCAGGGACAAAGAGCAGCGTGCAGGATTATAAAGAGGCTAGGTAGGAAAGGAAAAAGAAGGCGTAAACTCACCAACTTGAACATCGTAGTTTGGGGAAGCTCCTGAATAGATTTTATTCTCTGCAGATGCTGCTCTGTGTTTTCTAAGCTCCTCACAACACACGTGGGATACTTAGGGGGGGAGGGGAGGGCCCGACACTGTCTTCCAAAGTGGTGACACGGAGACCGGGAGGGTTAACCTGACCGAGGCTTCCGGGAGGGAGAACCTCAGACCCGTGAGCTGAAACCTGGGCCAGCCCCGGCCCCTTTGAGCCCTGCAGCCCCGGACGAGGCCTGAACCTCTGTGCCGTTAGCCCTCGCGACACCTCCCCACCCACGTCAGAGGCTGCGCGGGCTCCAGAAAGGTCAGGCATGAGTCTTGCCTTCGAAGCCCTTCCTGTTTTCTTTTCCCCAGAGCTACCTGAGGAAGCAGGTCACGCCTCTCTTCGATTATTTCGAAAAAATCACCTACAACTGGACGGTTCACCCACAGAACCTGATGGAACAGTGAGTATGCTGTTGGGAAGCTCAGAGCCCTGCTCCTTCGCTCATTTCCGGAGGTCACGGGTGGCCCAGACACCCTGACCTGGGGAGTCCAGAGCGGGGCCCTGCAGTGTCCTCCCGAGGACATCTCCTGGCTGGACCAGGGCCACCAGCAGGGAGAGAACCCCTCCTGGGAGTAGGAGGCCTACCCTGAGGTTCTTCGTAGCCTGTGGGCCCATCTGACCTCTTTGTACAAGGGCCCAAACTGAAACTGAGGTCCCTCACTTGCTTGGTCCTTTTACTTTATTTTAAAGAGTTACTTATTTGAGAGAGGGAGAGAGAGAGAGCAATGAGCTGGGGACGGGCAGAGGGAGAGGGAGAGAGAGAGAATCCTCAAGCAGACTCCCCCTAGAGCGCAGAGCCCGACATGATCGCTGAGATCATGACCTGAGCTAAAACCAAGAGTTGGCTGCTTAACCGACTGAGCCACCCACGCGCCCCTTGGTCATTTAGATTCTAGATGTTCAAACTGGGGCTGGAGCTTGTGGTGACCCCTCTAGGTCCCTGGGCTGCCCAAGGCACAAAGCAAACGGGGGGACCCAGTGGGCTGGGTGGGCTGCAGCCCCAGACAGAGCCCGGGCCCTGCCATCCTCCCTAGAGCTGTGCATCAGCAGGGGGATCTTGGCCAGAGTCTGGGCCAGGTGACTCACGGGCACGCTGATCAAGTGTGACCCCTGGCACAGGTACAGCGAGATTAACGCCGTCAGCACCGCCTGCACCTATGGGGTTCCTAAGTGTAAGGAGCTGGTCTCAACTCTTTTCGCAAAGTGGAGGAAGGACCCCCAAAATAACCCGTGAGTGTGTCCCCTGCTCCTCCCCCAACCTTCATCCCTCCCTCAAGCCCACAGCCATGTCCTCATCAGACCCTCGTCTACCCAGGATCAACCCCAACCTGCGCTCCATCATATACTGCAACGCCATTGCCCAGGGTGGTGAGGAGGAGTGGAACTTCATGTGGGAACAGTTCCAAAAGGCCACGCTGGTAAACGAGGCCGACAAACTCCGTGCAGCCCTGGCCTGCAGCAACCAGGTCTGGATCCTGAACAGGTGAGGGCCACGGCCAGACGGGGCTAACTTTCCCTCCCCACTGGGGGCCAGGATCCTTGCGCGGGAGAGAACACACCAGCCAGGCCTCCACACTCTCACTCACGGGATCCCCACAAACTCGTGCAGTGGGGCGGTCCATTCCCCATTCTACAGATGAGAACACTGAGGCTCAAAGAAGCAAAACAGCTTTTGCCCAAAGTCCAGAAACTTTAACAAGTGGGGGAGCCAAGACCTGAACCCAGGTCTGGGTCTCCGTCCCAGGTTTTCAAGTGCTGTGGCTTCTTGGCCTGCAGTTGACCGAAGCTCAGTTCTCCTCTCTGTCAAGGGCTCCGGGGCAGCTGGACCCGAGTCCTTTCAGATGTGCAGCTGGGCATGCCTCCAGCTCTTGCATGAGCGCTCCTGGCTCCCACTCCCGGAATCCAGGAAAGAAGAGCCTCCCTCCATGTCAGAGACAAACATAGCCACCCTTCCTGGTACAGGGCTCTTGGCTCTGGTTCTCCTTCCTTTATTCATTCGTTCATGGCCTGTCATCAGATATTTATCAGGCACTGGGGCCATGTGACACATGACACTTGGCATAGCCAGTGACGCTGCCTAGGAGACTCAGTATCCCTTCTACCAGAAGGAGGTAGGACTAAGGGGCTGCAACCCTCGGTAGGCCAAAGCCATATTAAGAGGCTGCCGGAGAGGTGTGGGGGAGGGGAGGGCGGGGTCCTTTGCCGTCCTGGGTTCTCTCTCTCTTTTTTTTTTTAAAAAAGATTTTATTTATCTATCTGAGAGGGAGAGAATGAGAGATAGAGAGCACGAGAGGGAAGAGGGTCAGAGGGAGAAGCAGACCCCCTGCTAAGCAGGGAGCCCGATGCGGGACTCGATCCCGGGACTCCAGGATCATGACCTGAGCCGGAGGCAGTCGCTTAACCAGCTGAGCCACCTGGGCGCCCCTGCGTTCTCTCTTGAATCCTCTGATTAGAGCCCTTGGTCACTAAGTCAGCATCCTGCCCTCACAGGTACCTGAGTTACACCAGGAACCCTGACCTCATCCGGAAGCAAGATGTCACCTCCACGCTTAGCAGCATCGCCAGCAATGTCGTCGGGCAAAATCTGGTCTGGGACTTCGTCCAGAGCAACTGGAAGAAGCTCTTTGAGGAGTGAGTCTGCGGGAGCATGTTAGGAGAAGTGCCCACCGAGGCTGGGGTGTCCTGGGGGGGCGGGGTCTGTGTGGCTGTGTGCATGGGACACCACAGGGCTGGAAGTTGGGGGGCTGTGGGCACTGCCGAGGAATGCTGGAAAATTAACCCAGCCTGAGGTGAGTCAGTTGGGGGGCAAAGACGAGGCAGGGTGTGGGCCGGCTCTCATCGCACTCAGGGGAAAGTCTGGTTCTCTGAAGAGGTGGGAGCAGGGACACTGCAATCAGACCAGCGTTCGTGTCCCTAGGGCATATCATTTCATCTCCTCTACACCATGAGGACAGTCGTAGAGTGGCTGTGAGGATACGGTGTCTTAGTTCCTTCTCAGCCCCTCACGCCTCTTCTCCCTGCCCCCCCACTTCTCGCAGCTTCGGCACTGGCTCCTTCTCCTTCTCCAACCTCATCCAGGCAGTGACGCGACGGTTCTCCACGGAGTTCGAGCTGCAGCAGGTAAGCAGCCCTGGACCCTGGGGCGGCACCCAGAGGCCCATCTCAGTCTAAAGGGGCATCTGCCATTCAGCGAGCGCCCCCTGAGTGTGCTCACAAGGGAGCTTGGGCTCCACGTTGCCAGGCCTTCCTCATTTCCAGGGGAGGCTGGGCATCCAGGCTTTTTAGAAGGTGACGAGTCAATCAGAAACATTCATCTTGGAATTTTTGTGTAGGCAAAAAGTAAAGAGAATCATATAAATGAACCTCCACGTACCCATTACCCAGATTGAACGATTATCAGCATTTTGCCGATTCTTTTTTCGGGGGGGGGTGGATACTCTTCAAGCAGAGATCCCTTCTATAATTTCACCTGTAAGTGCTTTAGTCATATCTAAAATAAAGGAATTTTTAACAGATAATCTCAATGTCATTAGCAAACGCAAGAAAAGGAACAGTTTCTTGCTATCGTATTCTACCCGGGGCCAATTTAAACCCTGTAGGTTTCTTTTAAAATTCTTTTTGCAGCGATATGTATGTTTGAATCAGAAGCCAAACAAAGTTAACTCACTGTATTAGGTTGATTTGTCTTTTTTCTTTTCATTGAGGTATAATTCATGTACCGTGACACTCACCATGTTAAGTGGTTTTCAGTGTATTTATGAGGTCATACAACCATCACCACCACCATCTTGTTCCAGAACATTCTTGTTACCCCCAAAAAGAAACTGTGGCAGTCACTCTCCACTCCTCTGTCCCCAGCCCCCGGCAACCACTAATCCACTTTCTGTCTCTATGGATAAGGCTATTCTGGATATTTCATAAAATGGAATCATATCATATGAGACCTTTTGTGTCTGGCTTTCACTTAGCATCAAGCTCTCAGGTTTCATCCATGTTGTAGCGTGTAGCATTCCTTTTTATGGCTGAATAATATTCCATTGTGTGGTTATACCACATCTGTTTATCCACCGATCGGTCGATAGACATTGGGTTGTTTCCACCTTTTTTTTTTTTTTTTAAGATTTTTGTTTATTTATTTGAGAGAGAGAGAGAGAGAGCGCGCAGGAGAGAGTACGGGCGGGGCCAGGGAGGAGCAGTGGCAGAGGGAGAAGCAGACTCCCTGCTGATCAGGGAGCCAGATGTGGGGCTCGATCCCAGGACCCTGGGATCACGACCTGAGCCAAAGGCAGACACTTAACTGACTGAGCCACCCAGGCGCCCCGACTTTTTGACTATATGAATAATGCTGTCATGAATATTCATGTACACATTTTTGACTGAACATATGTGTTTGTTTCTCTTGGGGATACACCTAGAAGTGGAGTTGCTGGATTGTTTGGTAACTCTATGTTTAACTTTTTGAGAAATTGGCAAAATGTTTTCCAGAGTAACTGCACCTAATTTACATTCCACCCGCAATGTAGGAGGGTTCCAATGTCTTTCTGTATTTGTGGACTCTTGTTATTTTCTTTCTTTCTTTCTTTTTTAATTATAGCCATTTTGTGGGTGTGAAGTAGTATGAATTGCATTTCTCTAATGACTAATGGTGTTGAGCACCTTTTCATGTGCTTATTGACCATTTGTATATCTTCTTTGGAGAAATATCTATTCAAATCCCTTGCCCATTTTTTAATTGGGTATTTGTCTCTTTATTGTTGAGTTGTAAGTGTTCTTTATATATTCTGGATACTAGACCCTTATTGGATACCTGATTTGCAAATGTTTTCTTCCATTCTGTGGATTGTCTTTTTATGTTCTCGATAGTGTCTTTTGATGCACTGAAGTTTTTTTATTTTGATGAAGTCCAGCTTTCTGATTTTTCCTTTACTGCTTGTGCTTTAGTGTCACGTCTAAGAAACAATTGCCTAATCCAAGGTCACAAAGATTTATACATGCTTTTTACTAAGAATCTTACCATTTTAGCTCTTACATTTAGGACTTTGATCGATTTTGGCTTAATTTTTGTATATGGTGTAAGTTAGGGGTCCAACTTCATTCTTTCGCATGTGGCCATCCAATTGTCTCACCACCATTTGTTGAGAAGACTATTCTTTCCCCCACTGAATGGTCTTGGCACCCTTGTTGAAAATCAGTTGACTGTAAATGTGGGGGTTTATTTCTGGACTCTCAGTTGTATATCATTGATCTGTTTGTCCTTATGTCAGTACCACACTCTCTTGATTACTGTAGCTCTGCAGTGATTTTAGGGTTGTGAACCCTCCAACTTTGTTCTTTTTTCAAGATTGTTTGGCTATTCAGAGTTCCTTGCATTTCTTTATGAATTTTAGGATCAGCTTGTCCATTTCTGTAAAAAATTAAAAAAAAAAAGGCAACTGGAATTCTGATAGGGATTGCATTGAGTCTGTAGATCAGTTTGGGAAGGGTTGCCATGGGATAATATTAAATCTTCCAAACCATTAATACAGATTTGGGTCTATTTGGGTCTTTTTTTCTTTTATTTAGGTCTTCTTTAATTTCTTTCAACAATGCTTTATAGTTTTCAACATGCCAGTCTTGCATGTCTTTTGTCAAATTTATTCCTCAGTATTTTATTCTTTTTGATGCTATTGTAAACGGAACTGTTTTCTTAATTTCATTTTTGTATTTTTCATTGTTGTGTGTAGAAATGTACTATGATCTCTGTATATTGCTCTCGCATCTTGCAACCTTGCTGAATTCGTTAGTTTTAATAGGGTTTTTTTGGTAGATTCCTTAGGATTTTCTGTATCCAAAATCATGTCATCTGCTAATGGAGATAGTTTTACTTCTTCCTTTCTGGATGCCTTTTATTTCATTTTCTTGCCTAATTGCCCTGGCTACAACCTCTAGTAATGTATCTTTTAATCTGTGACATCTTTTTTCTTTTTTTAATAATGCCATTTATTTGTTGAAACAACGAGGTTATTTGTAGTATAGAAATAGCCACATTTTGAATTTGGCTGATTGCTTCCTTGTGGTATCTTTTTAATTTGTCCCTCTCTCCTCCCTTGATTGCACTGAGATTACAATTCAATTAAAAACTAAATGATGTAATGTATGGTGATTAACATAACATAATAACAGAAACAGTGAAGATCAGATATATCCAGGAGCCAGATTTAACCATAAGGTTGTTAGTTTTGACCTCTGCCCTAGATAAAGACTTTATCTCAGGTGGAGAGAAGGATGGGCCCTTCCTCTCCTGGAGAACAGGCTGTGGCTGTGTTCCCAAGGGCCCTAATGCGGGTGGGAGGTCAGAGGACTGCATAGCCCTCTGCTTGAGGCTGACTTAGACACCCAGCCTGGGGCTGAGAGTCTTCATTTTCCTGGCAGCTGCAGCAGTTCAAGATGAACAACATGGACGTAGGCTTCGGCTCAGCCACTCGGGCTCTGGAGCAAGCCCTGGAGAAGACCAAAGCGAACATCAAGTGGGTGAAAGAAAACAAGGAAGTGGTGCTCAATTGGTTCACAGAAAACAGCTAATAGTCCTTGGTCCTTAACCATCACCTGGCCCCCCATGTGAGATGCCTCTATGTGTCTGCCCCCGTGGCCCACGGCAGTACCCCATTCCTGGAGCCTGAGGCGATGGTGTCCTCCACTCAGGGACAAAGTCTCTGGTCCACGTTTTCTCCAGTCTGCCCAGGAACCTATCCAGTTCCTGATGACCAGACTGTCCAAGCACCTTCCAGCCCCTGCCCCTCATGCCAACCCCCACCCCAGGCCTGGCATGGTGCCTGTCACCCAGGGCCCTGGGGCTGATCTCAGGGAAGCCCAGCTCTAGGGCCAGATGAGCAGAAGCCCTCAATGGACGATGGATGGCCTTGGGGGGGTAGCCCTGTGCCCGCTCTCACCTTCCCATAAAGACCCCGAACCTAAAGAATCAACAGGGCACAAGATCTATATATATTTTTTTTCTAAGAGAAAATGTAAATAAAGGATTTCTAGATCAATGTCTAGACTCATTACTAAGCTAGAGCAGGAGTGGGTTTGCATAGCAGCCAGGAAGACTGGCGGGGAGGGAACCTGGGATGTATGGGACCCCCAGGGAGCAGAGGAGGGGAGAAGTGTCCAGAATGCCTCTGTGTCCTATGAGGTCTGCCTACAGTGTTCCTTCCATCCATATTCCCGTGGCGGCTGGAGACCCTGGGTGCTGGGAACTATGAAGAGGTTGAGGCTAGGCAGCCGGACTGGTGGGGTGGGGAGAGCTGGGGCTCCGTGCCAGGCCCAGGGCAGGTCCTGACGGTGGAGGGAGTGTTGTTTCAGAAAGCAGAAGTTTCCGCTGGGGTCAGCACCTGCCCTAACACGAGGGAAGGAGCAGGGGGCCGATTGGGCTCCTCTTCTTGTGTCGCAGTCAGCACACCTGGGACGGTGAGAGAGGGGCTTGGAGTGAGGGCAGCAAGCCTTGGGACCCAGGCCTGGTCTGACCCCTCACTGGCCAAGGGCCTGTCCCATCTCCTCTCCAGGATCCGTGGTGGAAGGTGGGATATCAATTTGTAAAGTGGTTGTTTTCAAGAGTCGCATGCAGAAAAAGGCAGGTGCCCTTCAGATCACCTGGTGGTCAGTGCCTGTTCTGAGGAGAAGGTCTGGGACCCACATGGCTTCATGGCCCACGTTCGCCTTGGTGGAAGTTTCTTAGCAAATGGAGCCAGGTTGTTGGAAGTTCACCTCAGCCTCAGCCCCCACGGGGCCCAGCTGAGTGCCCCAGGCTGGTGGAGGGAACATGGGAGCTGACAGACCACAGGGCTCCTCGGGGGGGGGTCTCCTCCAAGTGAGCCACTGGGGCTCGAGTCCCGGAGACCAGGGGGCCTGGTATCAGATCACAGCTTGGCCAGTTTCTTGGGCAAGTGACCCAGACCCGTGGGCTTTGGCTTCTGCATCTGCACGAAAAAGGTGATGGATCACAGGATTGGGGTACGGATCTAAGGAGATTCCCATATGGGGGTATCTGGTACACTGCCCCCCAACACAGGAGGAGATTTGGGTGTTGTTACCCTTAGCCCTGTCTCCTGGTCTGCCGGCTCTCCTCACAGCCTCTGTTCCCCTTTGGGAGAAGTGGGGGTGGGGCCGTGGCCGGAAGGCTCCTCGGCCGCCACTGCAGTCCCTACATCAAAGGTGGGGCGGGCCAAGGAGTGAGACCAGCCCAGGGGAGCGGGTGGGATCTCTCCACCAATCAGGAGGCTTCCCTCAGCCCAGCCCCTGTGGGCCAGTCCTTCCTGTCGCCAGTGCCCAGCAGCCCTGGCTGGCACTTAACCTGCTGGGGATCAGAGGGCAGGCCCCCTCAGGAGGTCCCGCTGGGGGAGGGGCCACCCCCACCAGGGTCCCTGGGAGAGAGCTGGCCTCCAGGGAGAAGAGTCTGCAGGGATCCTAGTCTCTGTGCCTGGCACTGGGCGAAGTGTTTATGCGCATTATCTCATTTGGGTCTCAACAGCCCCAGGAGATAAGGATTGCTTTTATCTCAGTTTTGCAGATAAGGAAACTGAGGCGCAGGCAGGGTAAGTCAGTAGGGCTCGAACGAGATGCAGGCTCTAAAGCCGCAGAGTGGAAGGCCTCCTCCATCTGGAGCTGAGACAAGATCTGCGGCCTCCACCCGTTGCATGCTCCCACCGCCCGACGGCTCCCAAGCCTGGCATTCAGAATGCCCTGTGTGTCTGGAGGAAATCAGGTTCCTGAGGGCACCCAGAGCCAGTGACCCGCCTGCGGAACCTCGCTCGAGGTCGCACGCAGAGCAGGGGCCAACTCGAACTCAGGCTGCTGGTTCTGAGCCCAGCACTCAGTGGCGGGTTGACCCCTCAGGACCAGCGGGAGAGGCAGGCCCTGGGGATGGGCAGACCCTGGAGATGGAGGTCTCCCACCTCCCTCCACCCAGGAGACTCCTCGGAGGCACGTCCTCTACAGTGCAGGGTCATGAAAGAAATGTCCAGTCACTTATGGATGGTGATGGGGGTGGATCCCCAGGAAGGTGTGGGAAGACCGGTTTTTCCTGGCAGGGCACAGGCATCAGCCCTTCTCCCTCCCCTGCCAGGCCCGTGGCAGACAGGTGCAGTCAAGAGCAGAACACCCAGAATGGAACCACGGAAGGAGGTGAGGAGCTACTGCTCCTGAGAGGCAGGCCTGAGGCTTCCCTTGCAGAGGCTGAGGACAGGGGTGGGAGATTAGCCCGAGCCCGCCGGGCCCGGTGCCCTCACTCCAGCTGCACTTTAGATGTCTCCCAGGCCACTCTAGCGGGCAGCCTCTCACCTCTGCCTTTGCACCTCCTGGAGGAGTACCTCGTGAGGGGAGCTGGGAGAAGAAGGCTGCCAGATTCTGGAAGCTCTGGAATGCTGCTGGAGAAGGCCAGCCCTCTCTTGGGCTCCACTCCAGCCCTTGCAGGAGGGAGGAGCCGACCTTGGAGCTGGAAAGGCCTGGCCATCCGTGACCCCAGATCTGTGAGAGCCAAAGGAAGGAGATGGGCAGATGCTGTGAGGCTATGGAGCCAAGACCTATGGACTCTTCTAGGGAAGGAGAGAGCACTGGACAGGGAGTCAGGGGCCTGACATCTCTACCTAGCTGGGGGGCTAGGGAAAGTTGCTCTCCTACCTGGGCTTGTTTCTTCAGCTATAAAATGAAGGGGTGGAGAATATCCATTGAACCCAAACCTGGGAAGGATTTTCTTAAAGCCCCAGGTTCCTAAGTCCCAACTCAATGCACTGACTCCTGCTCTCAGGGTGGGCCTCTACAACCACGGGTCTCGGCATGCAGCCAGGTTCGGGAATCACCGGACTGCACCATCTCCTAGGTGGTGTGGCTCCATTCAGGAATTACTACGTGCCAAGCCTCAGAACCCTGAGGGATAGGGTTTGTTACTGTCCCCATTTCACAGCCAATAAAACTGAGGCTCAGGTAGGTTTCATAGTTTGCCCAGTTATACAGTGAGCAAGAACTGAGTGGAACGTGCATCCAGGTTAGTCCTGCCCTGTACCCATCTCCTCGCTGTGTATGATATTGTGGGAGGTTTCCTTATCCCTCCAGCTGTGGCTGGCAGCCCCTAGGGACAGGAGGCCCTGGGGTAAGAACCCAAACCCTAGAATGCTAGGGCAAGAAGGCACTGGGTATTATGGGATGAACTGTGTTCCCCCAGCATCCACGGTGAAGTTCTAGCCCCCAGGACCTCAGAACGTCAATGTATTCGGAGATAGTGCTTAATAAAGAGGTAATGAAGGTAAAAGAAGGTCATATGGGGGGGGGCCCTAAACCAGGATGACTGGGGGCCTTAACGGAAGTGATAAAGCCAGGTGCACAGACCGCAGCGTAATTACGTCGAGGGCAGAGAGAGAAGGCGGCCATCTGCAAGCCAAGGAGAGACGCTGCAGAAACCAACCCTGCTGACACTCATCTTGGACGCCAGCCTCCTGAGCTGTGAGAAAATTGTATTTCTGTTCTCCAAGCCACCTGATGCGTGCTTATGGCAGCCCCAGAAACAAATACGCCGGGCCTCGCCTGTGGAAGCGAACCGCCCTGCATCCTTTAAAAAACACTTCCCTAGAATTGTGAAGGAGCCCTCCGGGTCGGCAGGAATACGCTCAGAGGAAGGGACAAGGTAGTGGTGCTGGGTTGGAGGCAAGTGAACAGGCCCAAACGTTAACCCCCACCTGTGCCACCTCACACAGCAAGGCCAAGTGGAGCCCCTGGAGGTGAAGACTTGTCACAGGGGCACGGGAGGGCGCACACCAACCTCAGGAGGCCCGGACCCCGGAGGGGAAGAGCAGAAGGATGGCTCCCTGCAGGATGGGAACATTCTTCCTTTTCCAGAGGCAATAAAAACCCAGGTTGATAGAAGAAAAACAGACCATACCAACATTTTTGTTGTTGTTTTTTTTTAAGAAGTACAAAAATCGAAGCGTACAGCCTTCTCTCTCCCCTCCGCCACCCCGAGAACGCATTCCACCAGCGGTCCCAGACCTGCCGACTCTGTGGTCCCGCAGCCAGCACCTTGCTGCAGCTGAGCCGGTGTTCTGCAGAGACGGGTCATTCGGGGGGTGTCTAGGAGCGGAGGGCACTCCCCCAGCCCAGACTCCAGCCAGGGAGGCCACCCACTCTCTATTTCGAACACTGCCTCTCTGGGAAAGACATCACTTGGAAAAGAGATCCTTGGCTTAAAAAAAGCTTGAAGACCACAGCAAGTAGCAAATGAGGAGGACACTCCACACCAGAGGCCTGATTCCTGGCTAACAAGGGGACAGGCGAAGCTATCAGTAGAAGACGCCCAGGTGGGCGCCCCCCAAATCTTCTTGCCAAAGTTCAGGGCAGCCACTGAGCTGCAGGCCTGAGCTTTGGGATGGGCTTTGGTCACCGAGCTGGAAGGCAGGGCCTGGTCCCTGGTCCTCTGAGCTGGGGAGCTCCTCTGCACTGTGGCTCCAGCATCCCCACTGGGTCTGAGGCTGGAGTCTCTGGCATGCTGGGCGGGACAGGAGGGGTGGGGTTTCCGGCAACACGCAGGACTCTGGAGACTCAGAGATACCCTGCAAGAGAGGCAAAAGCAGCTGGTTAGTGGGCCACTGCCTGATGCCCTGAGACCTTGAACCTGGATGCTCCCCGGAGCGTGGCTGGCAGCTTCTGGGCAGCCCTGGGTGTCCTGGAAGCAGTGAAGCAAAGTGGTGAAGAACACTGGCTCTGGAGATACACTCCGGGGGTTCCTATCCCACCTCTGCTACTAACTAGTTTTAAGAACACAACCTCTTTCATTCGGTTTTCTCATCTGTAAAATGGGGGTGATGATTAACAGCACGTACGCTATAGAGTTGCTGGAGGGCCGGCTGAGCTAATACATGCACAGTGCCAAAAACGGTGATGGGCAAACAGTAAGCGAGCAGTAACTTTTGGTTATTGATATGCTCTTTTATGGACCATGACTCATTCACTCCCGGGCCTCATGAACAAATGAAGCTTAAAGGAAACAGGAAGGTCACCAGCTCCAAACCCCTATACTCTGGAAGTCCCCACACCTGGGGCTGGCCAGCCTCCCTCCCCCCAAACTTTAATGGAGCACTTAGAACCAGGGGCTCTTGCTACCTTTCATCGTGCCTCTGGAGCAAGTCCGAGGGTTCCCCCTCTTTAACGTGGCTGAAGACTTCTCGGTAGAGGCGGTGGTGGACTTAATGGCCCGGGGCCCCAGCTCTTTCCCCAAAGAGGTTAGGGTCCTCTCCATACTCCCTTCAGCTTCTCTCTAACCCTAACTGGGTTGGATTAGATAAACCCAGATCTAAAAAGCATGAGAATCTCTGCAGACTTGAGCCCACCCACGCCCTCCATTTCCGAATGAACCTGGGACCACCCCGAGAGGAGGGGCCCGGGCCTGCGCGCATACCTGATACACTACAGCCAGCTCCCGGGCCGCGGGGGGCGGCGTCCAGGGCACGGCCTGGTTCCTAGGTTCCGGGGACGTCTGCGTTCTGGAACAGGCCTGGGGCGGTGTCCAAAGGGCCGTCTCAGGGGCTCCCCCTTGGGAGAGATGCGCGGGCGACTGTATCCCAGGGCAGTAAGGGGGTGTAACCCAGGGATCCAGTTCGGGCACCCTGCTCCCCAGGCGCTCGGGCGCCGCTAGTGCTCCGGGACAGGCCGGCGGGGACCCCCACGACGCTGCGGCGCCGGCGGCAGAGCCCACGCCCGGGGCGCGCGCCTGCACCTGCGCCTGCGCCTGCGCCTGCGTCTGCGCCTGCGCGGGGCCGCCGTCGGGGCAGAGCGGGCAGCCCCGAGGCGCCGCCGCCGCGTCGCTGCGCCGCCGCCGCCGCCGCTGCTGCAGGCTCTCCTCGCTGAGGCCCAGCACGGCCGACAGGTGGCCGATGTAGCGGATGGCCAGGCGCAGCGTCTCGATCTTGGTGAGGCTCTGGCCGGCGGGCGCCACGGACGGCGGCAGAAAGCGGCGCAGCTCGTGCAGGGCGCGGGCGAGCGTGCGCATGCGCAGCTTCTCGCGCTCGCTGGCGCTCTGCCGCTGCCCGCCAGCCGGCCCGCTGCGGCCTCGTCCGGGAGCCGTTGGGGCGGCCTCTGCGGAGCGGGCGCCGCGGGCCGGGAGCGCGGGCTGCGAGGGGCCGCGGGCGCCGTCGCAGGGGCACGAGCCCGAAGAGTCCGAGGAGGAGGCCGGGGACGTGGAGTCCGGGTGGCCGGCCCAGCCCCAGCCCTGGGGCAAGATCCAGTGGTCGTGGCCCAGAAGGCTGTGCAGAGGAGGGGACTGGGCCATGGCCGGGGCTGCTGCAGGCTCTGGGAGGCTGGGCCGGCCACCTCCAGGCCTGAGCTTTTATCTGGACCAAAGGTGAGAGGTGGCCCCCTGCCAGGTTACAGAGAGGTGTCAAAACCCACAGAGCCCAGGGAAGGCCTGGGCAGGGGGGCCTTGGGAAAGCGGGCCCATTTGCGGAGGTGTGGATTCTGACTCCTCGGGGGCTCTAATGGAGGCCCCTGCAGCCCTGGAAGTGTGGGAGGGACAATTCGCATCTGGATGGAGCCGCTAAGCTTCTCACCGAGTTCCCACCCACCCGGGCTCGTGGCATGGTGAGTGCCCAGGAGCCCGACAGTGGTGGGCAGTGCCATCATCGTCTGGGGACGGCCAGGCTGTCCCTCATGTGAACAGTGGACCCATGCAAAGAGTGGCCGCCTCTCTCATCTCCAGCGTCCCCCGCCCCGGGGGTGGGAGTTTGTCCAGTAACTGCCAGTCACTGTCTGCAGGTGTGCTGGATAAGGCTGCAAGACAAGCCCCGAGGGATTTGCCCACAGTGATGTGGGGTGGTGTGGAAGTAGGGGGACATACAAGTGCAGCCTTCCTGGTTTGCTCCCAGAACCCACATTTGCTGGTTTGCTGAATAACACGAGCCACGTCATCTCACTACCCACAGATAGTTTCCGTCCCTGAAAAACAGAGCAGCCTGGAGAAAAAAGATAGGAAGTAGTGGGTGATGAAAATGGGGGAAGGTGAGCTCTCCAGGCAGGCCTGAGTCTATTTGCTGTGTGACCTGGGGCAAGTTACTTACCTCCTCTGAGACTCAAGTTTCCTTCGATCTCACAGCAGTAATACTACAAAATGCCCACCGCCTGGGAAGGCTGCTGGTACTAAGTGGAACCATCAGTGTGGGCCTGGCAGATGAGCTAAATGTTTGCTCCTATCATTTCATAAGGAAGGTACTTACATTTCAAGATGCTGTAGGCATTACTCATTTACTTCATATTTATTTAGCAACTGGTAAAGGTCAGGCACACCAGCGTGACACAAGTTAGTTGTGGTCTTGGCTCTCATGACATTTGAAGTTTGTGCTGAGAGACAACAAGTGAACAGACCATTATACACTTAGTAGCTCCATCACTAACTGGCTCTGTGCCCTTGGGCAGGGCCCTTAACCAGTCAGAGCTTGAGCTTGTGCTCTATAAAACAGGAATAATGATTATAGTATCGACTCGTAGGACTGTTATAGTCTTATAGTATAAACTTGGAGTTAGTAAAAACTCTCCTCAGCAGTTTATTACAGGTTAAAGGAGGCATTGGTGTCCTTTGTGATCTTCGGAGAAAGGGCTGAACTCCGAGGCTAAGGGCCAAATGAGGGCCAGGGGCTGTAGAGTTCTGGCCACAGAGCTGGAGAGGTCACCACTGAGCCTTGAACCATGAGTAGGACTTGGTTAAGGAGAGAGGCAGGTAGGGAGAATTCTGGCCATGGGAACTGCTTAAGGAAAGGCCTGGCAGGGGGACTTGCTGAGGGGCTTCTGGAACAGTGCACAGGGGTGCTGATGTGGAGAGCTGGAGCGCAGCTTGGCTGGGGCCAGGCTAAGAAGTTGGATGGCCAGATGGAGCAGAAGTGTGACCAAAAAAAGAAAAAGCAGGCAATCAGTAACAAAAGTTCAACATGATGATGTTTCTGGATTCTGGGATAGATTGGCCTGTATCAGCTTGAAGTAATAAATAATGACCTTGTAGTAGTTGTGGCCGCTCCTAAAAACAAACATTTAGTCACACAAATTACATAACAAATACATTCTCTTTGGCAGCAGTGGGAACATTACAGGTAAACCTGAGGTCCTTCAGCAAAGAGCAGCTCTTAGGTGGTCATGTGCCCCTCCACGCCGGGCCCGCACGCTCACCTGGATGTATGTAAATGAGGGAACATTGCGGCCTGTTTGTAAGTTGTTTTTTTTTAAAAGGTTTTATTTATTTGAGAGAGCACAAAAGCACATGGGGGGGGGCAAAGGAAGAGGGAGAAGTAGACTCCCCACTGAGCATGGAGCCTGACGGAAGTGGGGGGGGGAGGGAGAGGGAGAACGCCAAGCAGGCTCCTCGTCCAACACCAAGCGTGACGAGGGGCTCGATATCATGACCCTGAGATCGTGACCTGAGCCGAAATCAAGATGTCGGACGCTTAACCGACTGCACCACCCGGGTGCCCTGTCACTTGCTTTGTTTCGTTCAACAGCATGTCTTAGAGCACTCCCCATCAGGAGATGTTGAGCTGACTCGTAGAGGGTCATGGGTGACTTAAATGGGTGAACATTTAAACATTATACGAACATTAGAGCAGATCATTTTAACTGGAAAAAAAAATGGCAGGAGGTGCAGACAAACCTTCAGTGAGGAGATGACCTCACTTTCTGCTCAGGACTTATTTTTTATTTACTTTTATTTATTTGACATAGAGACAGAGAGCACAAGCAAGGGGAGCAGCAGAGGGAGAGGGAGAAGCTGGCTTCCCGCTGAGCAGGGAGCCTGATGTGGAGCTCCATCCCAGGACCCCGAGATCATGACCTGAGCCAAAGGCAGACGCTTAACCAACTGAGCCACCCAGGCGCCCTTCAGGACTCATTTTTTAAAATACCAGAGAAAATATGCCCAAGTCACCACTTTAGCATGATGATGAAGGAATAATTGGCATTGAACCATGTCGTCAGGGCAACCCCTGTTTAGTTTATTCTAGCTGCCGTGAATGAGGAGAGGAAATTTCTTATTTGTCCACAGCACAAAAAGAAGGTAACTCAACCATGGCCTTGAATCCAAATAGGCTTTCTCTGGAAAGAAGCAGGAGGTTATGCAAGTATTTCATGACTTGAAAGGATTTTTTTTTTTTTTAAGATTGTATTTATTTGACAGAGAGAGCGAGAGCAGGAACACAAGTAGGGGGAATGTGAGAGGAAGAAGCAGGCCTCCCGCCGAGCAGGAAGCCCGATGCGGGGCTCGATCCCAGGACCCTGGGATCATGACCTGAGCGGAAGGCAGATGCCTAACGACAGCCACCCAGGCGCCCCCATGACTTGAAAGGATTTACACCAAGTTAAAAAAATTTTTTTTCCCCTAAGGGTGGTGGGACTTAGAAAACAATCAATCCTGCACTTTTTAGGTTGAACTCATGGCTGTACTGGCTAGGAATTGATTTACATGTAATTGACATTTGTAAACAGAATCCATCTGGTTTCTTGTATGTTTCTTGATCTGGATTCTGAACTTTCAGATTAATGTGCTGTTGATATTAAGTTTTTTTTTTTTTTAAGATTTTATTTATCAGAGAGAGCGAGAGCACAAGCAGGGGGAACAGCAGGCAGAGGGAGAAGCAGACTCCCCGCTGGGCAAGGAGTCCCCTGATGCGGGACTCGATCCCAGGACTCTGGGATCATGACCTGAGCCAAAGGCAGACGCTTAACCCATTGAGCCACCCAGGCGTCCCGATATTTGAGTTTTCTGACTCACCCCTTTTAACTGTTTTAACTGTTCTATGGTATTATAGCACGTGTACCCCAGTCAAGCCCTTACTGATGTATCTTTAGTGTGTGTTTAGTTTTTGCCAAATAGCACTGCCTTGTGCACAGGCAGATAGACCTGGAGAGGTGGAATGGCCTTGCAATCTCCAGGAAGGGTCCGAAAATCCAGAATTAGAGCCAGCCTGGAGGGGTTTCCTATGAAAGGACTTGGTGAATAATGGGAGTTCACCACCAGCACAGAGCCCTGCTTACTCTCCTTTCCTCTCTAGGATAGCCTGGCCTCCTGTCTTGGTTTGGGCTAGCCCCAGAGCCCAGGCCTCAGACTGACTGGGATGACAGAGCATAATTTTGGGAAGGTGGGGCCCTGGCTCTTCACCAGGCCTCTCAGCCAGGCCCTGGAAGCACAGGGACACACTGTCTACCATCCCCGTTCACCAGGGTGGGGGAGCCGAAGTGGATCCTCCCATTGGGCCTCCACTTAGCACAGGGAGGTAGTGTCACTTGGTGGTGAAGAGGCTGGGCTATGGAATCAGACTGACCTGGGTTTAGATCCCAGTTCCACCCCTTCTAAGCCGTGAGGACTTGGGCTACTTACTCAGCATCTGTTTTCTCATCTGTAAAGTGAAGGGTTCTGATTTCCAGGGTGATTATTGGGGTAAGTAAGGATGATGCATGTCATGGTGCTTAGCACAGAGCCTACATTTATAAGTCTTATAGTAAGTTCAGGGGCAGCAGAATGAAGTAGGTAAAGGACTAGGTTGGGGTGTGGGTAAGGGGGCGGCTGGTCTCTTAGTCTTGGCCCTAGAAGAAGGTGATTCCTTCCATTCCTGAGATTCCAGCACCAGGCCTAGCGCATCCTGCCCGAGCCCCCTCCTCCACCTGCGGCCCTTTTCCTCTGTGGACCCAGCACAGGGGTCATCCTCAGCAGGGCACACCCGCCCCTGGCCTGTGGCAGGGGCCACCACAGCTACAGCGCAGAGGGGACAGGAGAGCTCCGATGCCTGGAGCTAGAACCGAGCCCACCAGCCCAGCCAAGGCTATAGGAAATGGAAGATCTCAACCTGCCTCTCCTGGTGGGCTGGGTCCTGGCCCAGGTGCTGGTCCAGCTTGCCTCTGGCACCCTCAAGCATTCCTCCCTCTATGTGGGAAGCCCCAGGTGCTTGGTGAACAAGCCGGGTCTGGGCCCTGCCCCACGGGCGGCTCTCCTCTCTTCCTCATCCAACTCCCCTGTTAAAAGGAGGGACGGCTACAGCTGTATGCTCTTGGACAAGGTGATTAACTTCTGGGCCTCGGCAGGCTCCTGGCGGGCTCACCCGCTCCTTCCTGTGATGGGAGGAGGTGGTGGTTAGGTCAGGGAAACATGGTCCATAGAATGTTCACGAGTCTGGCAGACCCTTCTAGTTGCACACACAGCATCAGTTACAGCCTCTATTCTTACATCTTTTTTTAATAATTGGACTGTATTATTGTGGGTGGCAATATGCCCAGCTAGAAAACACATCCCAGCCTCTC